AAACTTGAGCTAGGAATGCACAACCAAGGCACAATAGATGTGTAAGCACTTGCGCATACCCACGAATGCTTATGTCTCCCATATGAAATCGTTCTCATGTTTTCAACAGGAAGATCATTCGCGATAGAATGCTCTGACCGATAAGGATGATATATATGCTGCCCTCTGATATTATTACATATTCTCTACTCCTGCACCCACCCCTCCATGCTTACTACTAATGAAGAGCTAGCTGTTTTAGCAACCTCCTGGGCTACATGGCCTGTACAGCACATGCCTCCTGCATCGGATTCCGCACCGAATGCTTCGATGCCACGGCAACTCTTCACACCGTGCAGCAGGAAAAGTGCGCGGAACTGGATGGTGCGCCGACAATGTTCACAGCGGAGCTAGCTGGTAAGGAGGTGGAGCAGAATGGGTTCAATCATGTAAGGGCTGGGATTGCGGCCGAAAGTAGTATTCCGAACAAATTGATGGAGAGGTTTTATAGAAAGCTGGACCCGACAGTTGAGTATGCGACCCCAAGTGCCGCAGGTGTGTGTGGGGGGAAGGGAAGACTAATGAAATCCCCGGCTAGGGTGGGAGTGTAGCTATCTGTTATGCGTGAGTGAGTGACGTGATCTTATGGGTGGCTGTATAATGGCTAATAGGGTTTATATAATGACTGAAACTTCACCGGGTTCTGCAGTGACTACCACTGATGACCCGCTTGAGAAACGAGTCAATAGTGTTGGCAGATTAATGCCGCATGTCGAGTGCGCCACCTCCTCTCCTCCTACTCTCTTTGGGCCGACGCTCGTAGGTGGGGCCCGAGGGGGCTCCGCCACCGGCGGCACCAAGGCCCTCTCCGCAGGGGGGCTCAGTGAACTACCGGTATCTTGATACCTTCTGCAAAAGTGCTACTGGAACGATCCAATCCGTAAAGCGGGAATCAGGGCTAAAAACGAGAACAGGAAGTCGTGGAATCATGTGAATGATTTCCCAGCCACCTGTACTACTTGCTCCCTTCCTTCATAGAGCTGATTAATTGGATTGGGCTAGGTAGACTAGAGGCCAAGCAGAATCAGACGAGAACGAATATATCAAGATTGCCGGGAGATTAGGAGGTCTGACCACGCGGGGTGGGGAAAACATTGTGGGTCCTCTAGAATCTTAGACCGGTGTTGGTATGGGCTAATCCTCGAAGCACCCTCTCGAGACCGAAAACTACCTACTTGCCAATCGAAAGATTATCATGTCTTCAGTTGTAGGGCTTAAGGATAAATATGCGGAGGGGTTTTTGTAGCGTTTGTCAGGAAGGACTAGGATTTGGCCACGAATGAGGTTCGGGAGTGGGTTCGCGAGAAGCTGTCGCATCGTTTGGGTATGCTATAACATGCTCCCAGGTGACACCCGAGGCACAGTAAGGAGAAAGGCTAACGTAGTGATAGTCCCGAAATATGTGTTCTGGGTGGACCCCTGTCCCAAGACTGCCAGTAGGAAGATACAAAAGTTTGTGTTGGGACAGATGGGGGTGGAACCAAGTTCTAAAGGGGAGGGACAGTGATATGATATGATGGGTGATGGGTGGTCCAATTGTAGACAATGGTGAACATCGATCTGGCTTGGTGTATATAGTGTAAACAGTATTGTGATAGTTATTGTTTGATCAAATGGAGGGCTACGTTTTTGATCTACTGTTAAGCATCGTAAATTACCACCTACCGGGCTGGGAGCAAAGGAGAAGAGATGTTTGAAAAGCTTATAATGGTCATTTCGTTGCCTTCTGTCCTTTCTGTCCTTTACGCCCCGCACTCCGACCATTCTTCTCGGCTGAACCCTTCTTCGCAGCGTAACTCTTCCGCACCCAGTCCGATATGATACCCTTGATATAAAACCCTTGACCGGACCAAAATCCTGCTTCGGCTTCCTAAACACCGCTAATTAGTTCTTCTCTACTCACCAACCCCCACTCACGCAGATACTTGAACATACTAGATATAATATACCTTGCCCTCCTCGCCGGCTCCACCTTCGGCTGTACAAGGTTAATAATACTGATGATCTCCGAATAAACCTTTCAGTTACATCGCCAATGGTAGCTTCGTTAAGTGGTCCTAGAGTAGGATCGGGGTGTCAATGCCGCGCTACCGAATATTCAGCAGCACCTAGGAAAATGGTTCGCCATTCTTACCTCGCACGTAGACGGTGTCGCCTGGTCAGATCGCCTGAGGGTTGCGCCGGGAGAAGAGCTCCGCACCAGAACCACTGGGATTCAGGGCTCTGATTTGTGCCGCCGTGAGCACGGATATGATACAGGATGTATAGGGCGCGGTTAGCAGTTGCCACACAAGACCAGAAGCACAGGACGCAGGGGACGCGGCGCCCGTGCCTCTGATGCAGGATTTACCGGTATTTTCGCTGATGTAATATAGGTAGCATATACAAGCATCATGTAAAATAGGACCGAAATGTTTGAATTTTGTTAATGCAATACTAATTTGTAAGTGTTGGGCACGAACTGAGAGGATGATGAGAGTATATATGAAGGAATTGCTTATCATACTACTGACTTCAAAGATAAGTTAACTAAGACCTACAGAAGTCATCACAGACTTGCCAGTGGAGTCTCCAATTTCCAAACTATACGATAGCCTTATATTAAAAAAACTTTCTTTTATGCATTCCATCATTTGGGGTGTTCGTGGAACCATCATGGGTGGCTTGGCTTGGCAATTTTGTTGCACAGCCACTTTTGTATCTGACCGTGCCACAGAGTACCCCCACTTGGGTTCTTGCACCATAGGATTTATTCTGTACGTAATGACCCACGTATTCTCACGTACGGTATGGCTAACAGCTCGAACTGCAATTTACGCAGCATACTATAAAGTACGGGTAAGTCAGAGGGGGGGGTTTCCGCCAGGGGGGGTTTCCGTAACTTCTGTAGTGGTCCATGCACACCACCCACCCCCGTTGTTCAATTCTAATTATCTACATCAGAATCACCTATTTCTATACAACTTTCAGTCGTGGACTCTTTGGAATTGATCTCTGAAGCTGAATCCTCTGCCTCAACCCTTCCAGCCTCTATTTGAGCACGCCTTATAGTGTGGATAGTGGCAAACTTCAAATTTGGATCCTCCTGAACCTTCCTCCTCTTGGTCCTTTTCACTGCAACCAGTTCTTCTTCCAGGACCTCAATTCGATGCTTGGTGATTGCCAACTCAGTTTGGTTTTGATCCAGTACCTTACCAACCTTGTGGAGGAACACCTTCTCTGCTGGTGCGGCCTTGACTGAGCGAGAAAATCGGGTGGCCTGCTCTATAAACTCACGACGCTTCCGAGGAGTAGACCATGGGGTTTGGGGGGGGGGAAAAGTCCTCCACAAGGGGGTTATCGAGTATCTCCCGGTCAGGAGCAGGTGCAGCAGTAGTAGGAGTCACGGAATTGTTAGAATTTGGGAGAAGGAGACGGCTCATTAGGGGCTTTTCTAAGTTGACTGGCCATAGGCCTGTTGCTGACCACCCTGTTCTCCCAGTTCTTGCTGTTAGGGTTTCCTCCATAGCCCTCCAGTAACAGGAAAGAAAGGCACGTTTTCCGGCTACTGTTGAGTCGTCTAGGTGTTGAGTAAGCATGTCATTGAGGTGTTTCCGATAAGCATGCTTAAGGGGGGAGAAAACGGATAAATCTAAAGGCTGAAGGACATGTGAGGTATGTGCCGGTAGGTAAACGATGTGGATATTGTTCGAGTAGGCTGCCCACATGTAATCATCAGTCACATGACTGCCGTGGCCATCGATATCGAGGAGTCGTTTATCTCGGGGTTTGGCTGGCTTAGTTAAGGGAATAAAGATCTTCTGAAGCCAGTGTAGACTAGTTTCGTCATTTGTCCAGCCCTTAGGGGTAGCTTTGAATTTCCAAGCCTCCAGGTCCTTCAATTCCTCTGGAAACCACTGTTGTTGAACTGTCCGACCCTTGAAAATAATGAGTGGAGCTAGGAATCTCCCAGTAGCTGATACACACTCAACAAATGACGTCCAGGTATGACTCCCTGGCTGTTTCTTTTACAGAGCCTTGTGGTCACTGGCTCCGACTACTAGGCCATTGGTGTTGGAAATCCAAGCTGCTCCCCACACCTACCCGATACCTTCCCCTTCCCCTTCTCCCCATCCTCCTCATACCCTTCCCTCCCTCTCGCCATTCCCATTTCCTAACCCCCAGTCCCCTCCTTCCTTCCCATCCCGCATTGGTTTGCTTGTTTGGTTGTTTGTTAGTTTTCCGGAAGGAGCGTAGTGGAGGACCGCAGCAGGAGAGCGGTGGAGGACCGGCAGAGGACCGCAGGAAGAGCCCCGGAAGAGGGCACGGTGAAGGACTGCAGGAAGAGCGCTGGAAGAGCGCGCGGTGAAGGACCACAGGGAGAGCGCCGGAAGAGGGCTGGAGGAGCGCGGTGGAGGACCATAGGAGTAGCACAGGAAAGGCACGGCGGGAAAGCACCATGGAATAGCGCACGGCGGAAGCGCAAGTTTGTTTTTCTGTTCGTTGTTAGCTTTTTTTTCTGGTTTTCTTGGACGATACGGGGGCTTACCTATGGGGGGGGGAGCGAGTTTGTCTTTCCTTTGTTAGTTTGTGTGTTTGCTTGGGAGAGGGAAGCGGAGGACTTACCTTGGGGGGGGGGAGTGAGGGGAGTCTGTGGTTGATATAGTCTCCTATGTTCGCCATTAGTTAGACAAGAATGCGATAGTCAGGGAGCGGGAGAGAGTGTGAAAGTGAAAAGTCTTTTTTGCCTTGGGCAATCCTCTCTTGCGTGCTCTAGCTGGCCTCCAATTGGCCAGTTGAGATAGATCCCTGTTTGTTCACCGTTGCGACCGCCATTCCACCGCTCGTTCAAAAATTGGTCCCCCTGCCTTCCATAATACCAGCCTCATCCTTGTTGTAGCGATTTTCCTGCTTAATCTCCTTGATCTCCGGTATCTCAAACAGGTCGAACCAAGGCCGTATAACTTCCTCCCTAGCACAGCTCAACCGAATAGAATCTACTTGCCTCGCCCTCTGGGTCTGTAAACCTGGATGGCGGTCAAGAAAGGCACTGCACCACACTCTACCAAAAGGTTGATCATTGCCAGACTCAGAGGCGATCCGGTGGCCTAAAGCCTTAATCTGTGCGTGTGTTGGTGGATGGCCTAGACCGACCTGGAGAAGGCACCATCTCGCTAGGTGGTCCTCCTGAACCACAGAAAGCTGTTGTTGACTTTGGTGGGCAAACCTGTGAGGCAGGGTGCCCTTGAGGCGGTCACGGAGTGTAGTGTAGGGTATGGCCCATCGATCAGAGGCAGCTTTGACTTGGTGTGTTTGTAGCACCTCTGCACAAGCATTGCGCAAGTCGTCTTCACTGTATGTGGGAACCATGGTGATAAGAATAACAGAATTAAAGAGAGCAAAGAAAATGCGTCGGAATTGAATACATTGTGCTGAAATATATTGAGGAGGTTGGGTGGCTTATGCGGTTGTTATGGACAATACGGAAACCCCCCCTGGCGGAAACCCCCCCCTCTGACTTACAAAAAGAACCGTCCGGCAACGCAACGGCAACCCCACTACCACTCTAAATTTACTACTCCTACAACCACAACTACTTGAAATAAACTGATAATATGTGTAAACATACAATAAATATAAGAAAAGCTATATGTAAAATTAGAAAACAAAAAAATCAATACTTGGTATACCATCCCCTTGCATCTATGACAGCAGCAACTCTACTAGGCATAGACTCCCACAATCTTTCCAGAAAATCCCCTTCAATATCCTGAGTCCAAACCTGATTTAGAGCTACTGCTAGATGTTTTCTAACAGTTTCTGGGTCCCCCTTGGTCTTGTGGATGTTGGGAAAGTACTGGTGTAGCTTTTCCTTCATCCTCTTCCAACAGTGCTCAATAGGATTGAGTTCAGGAGAATTGGCTAGCCATTCCATAACCTGTATGTTGTTTTCCTCAAACCAAGCTATGGTATCTCTTGCAGTATGTATCCTTGCACTATCCTGCTGAAAGATAGGATCCCCAACTGTATCCTCCACCTCCTGCCAGACATCAACTAAACCATCCTCCAAAACTCCAATATATACAAATCTATCCACACTCTTGTCAAAAATAGGAATCAGAGGATCCTTATTTCTGCCCCAAATACAAGCCCACACCATCAGCTTTACCCCTGGCTCCTTGGTAACTCTATGAATACAGTCTTTGTGCCATTTTTCTTCAGATGTTCTGAACACCCATATACCCTTAGGATCCTTAGACTTTTCAACCAAGGATTCATCACTAAAGATGACTCCTTCAAAGTCTTCCTTTATCCAATCCTTATACTTCATTGCCCAAGCTAACCTCTTAACAGCATGCTCATCCTTTAGAAGGGCTCTTTTCCTAGCTCTCCATTTCTTTATGTTGACTGAGGCTAAAGCTCTATTGACTGTTTGGAGGGAGGAATGTGGTGCAACATCATTGTGCAATTCTGATAAAGTCTGGTGGTGTGCCTTCTTAGACTCTCTGACTAGGCGGCATTGGCTTCTGGAATCAATAATTTTGGGTCTTCCAGGTATAAGGAGGTTTTTTGCATCACCCCTCTTTTGGAAGCAGTCATGGAAAGTTTGAACAGTACTCTTTGGACGGTTTAAGAGCTCTCCAACCTCTCCAAAAGAGATTTTTTTTTTTTTTCAGAGCAACTATTTGCCCTTTCTCAAACTCTGTAAGGTAGCCTGTCTTGTGTGGAGGCATCGTGGTTGAGGGGTGGTTGATTGTAGGAGTGGGGTGTTTTGAGGTGTCATGCGGTAACCACCGATCGTACGGATCCTTTTGGCCTAGTACTTTACAATATGGCACAGTGAGGTAACTTACCGTAGGTTCACCGGCCATCTTCACCAAACCTATTATGATAAAATAGAAAGCTTTCCAACCAGACGCAGGGACTAGAGGTCTCAAACAGCACACAGGGAGCGGATCCCCCGACTGGGTTTTTGAAGCAGAGTGAATAGCTAACCTCGGCGTTCGGGGCAAGGAAATCACGGAGAGATCGTTACTCTTCAGTCACCCTTCCCTCCCGTTATGTAATCCTTTCTTATCTGCTAAGCGAGTGCCAAATTCTGATAATTATCTCATCTACTTTACTATGACCTGGCTGGTAAGCCGGTAGTCTAGAATCCACTTGCCATTGTGAATGGAGATAAACTATCCACTCCTCCCGGGTCCAATGTGTTTGAATCTTTGCGGTGTACGAGATGGTAACCTCTTGCGTATCCACCCGGAATATAACTTCCAACTAACTCCCCATTTTTGGGCAAAGGGAAAGGACACCTATTGGTTCCTTGGACATGTAGGAGGATGGGCAAGCGGCGGTATCAGCTCTTTGGGCCTACGCCCCCCCCCCCATTGGAGGAGCATAGAGTTCAAATTTATAGCGCTAAGCAAGGTGATGGTGAAAGATCGTGTGGTGGAGGGATGGGCTGTCCGGATACGGGGATGCTGAGTAGCCTAAATATAGTTGGGGTGCTGTTGCTTTGCCTGGACATCCCCCTTCTCATATTTATTTATTTCCTCAGTCTTCTCTTCCTAACGATCAACCTTCATGTTTACCACGGTGGTGGGCCATAGCGACTATGGGCGTTCGCTACAGGTTCACACGAACCGATACCGGTATCAAGGGGGGCACGATTGCATGGCATCGGATTTTGAATCGTGAGGTACTGTTTCCTGGAATTGTATCTGAATGCTGTAATTTATCAGAGGGCATGATTTCAATTTTTGTAAATAAGAATGGTACAGTATTGTTCGACCGGTAATGTCGCTGGCAGGGCCGAGTTTACCCTGCCACGCTGCGGGGATTACGATCTCTCAGGCCTCCCAATGCCCGGTCAGAGCCCAGTGCGGAACACCATACGAAGGAAGCTATAATTGTGGCAGGAAAAAGGGGAATGGGAAAGGATGCAACACGCCCCCCTCCTCCCCTCCATCTCGTTTGTAGATAATGTCCGGCACTGAGTGCCGTTCGGCTGCTCGCGACAAAACTGGAGTAGGGTACTGGTGCTGGTAGAACGAGAGCCGATCTCACGGCCAAAAAGCTGTCAGAAATGATGAGGTGCGGCTGGGCATGCTCTCGCACGATGGTTTGTTTGTTCGGGAGCGCGCTTGGATTTTGGGCATGATATGGTTTTTATGGGTTGGGGCGCATAAGCTTCCGCCCGCGCAGTTTGGATTTTGTGGGAAAGCGCTTCGATCACGGAAATGTGGGGGAGTGTCGGAGAAGCGCATCCAAGGGAAGGAAGGCACGAAGGAAAGCCGAGGGCCGTGGGGAGGGCCCGGGGGCTGGGGAGCCGGGGTTTGTCTTTTCTTTGTTAGCTTTTCTTGGTTGCTCATGCGTAGGAGACGTACCTAGGGGATTTGGACTTCGTCGTTTCTGCCGTTGATATATACTCCTGTCATTACCGTTAGTTAGTTAGAAAGAGCGCGCGATAGTTGGTGAAGTGAAGAGTTCCCACCCCCCACTGTGAGTTGAGCGATCGGATTCACGTGAGTGATCTTGGCGTTGTTTCGTTTCACGGCCCATGACTCGTTCGTTTAGTTTCCTACCGCCGTTCGCTGCGCCGCGCGTTCTTCAAGTTTCGCTCGACCCGCTGCCCGTTCACCGTTCGGTCGGCCGTCCGTTTGTTCGGTTTTGATATCTTGAAGTCTCCGCCGATCCGCTTTTGAAAAAAGGCTCCTTGCTGAATTAGTTTTCCTTGATATGCAGGACTGAGAAAGCACGGGCTCCGGAGCCGCATAAGGTTGGTTGGTCAGCCTACAGGAATAGCTGGTTAAATTACTCATCTATCACATCATACCAGTTTTGGAGGAAGCTGTGTTGACCCCAGTCCTAGGATGCCGCTAGAGGTTGACACAATCAGCCCCAGTGTTGAAACCAAAGATAACTTATCAGTAGGTCAGCGGGCTTTACCAATGGATGCGGCTACAGAATGAGGCATGCTCAGCACAGCCCTGTACTCAACATTGCCCTATCGAATTCTGTGCGGAAAACCCCTTTTGGATACCACGCGCTTGGCGGCAAACCCTTTCGGATACCATCCCCCGGGAAATATACTATCGAAAGAGTGAACCCTTTGTGAATAGTTATCCTTACCTTCGGCCCATCATAAAATTGGGAAGAAAAGTTCAAAAAAAATTAATTAATAGCACTAAAAAATGGATACGGTTGATTTTTGTATTTTAAAATTCATATTACCGTCGGAAGGCCTTTCTGTATGTTGACATACTGCTGCTTAAAAGTAGTATGTTTTGGGTGATCGGTTGTGCCAAGGGTTCCCGGAGAATTGCGAAGCTACATGACCCGTTGACCCACTTTATACCAAAGAACATAGAAAAAATTTAAAAAGATATCAGCAAAGCTTCAGGTAATTTCTTCTTTTTCCTGTATTCTTTTTTTCAATTTGGTTGCATTTTTTGAGGGGTGAAAAAGCGAGCAAAAGAGCGGCAATGTTTTCTTGTTCGTTCCAACCTGGATATTATTTCGCGAAGGTTTGACTTTTTCGATGGTATATTTCCCAGGGGATGGTATCCGAAAGGTTTTACCGCGAGGCGCATGGTATTTAAAATATTTAAAAGGTTTACAAGTACTGTACCAATTCTGTGCAGCATGGTGCATGCTTTGGGCTTGCGGCGTCGGCTGTGTGGCTGTTCCGGCGCTGGTACTTGTTGCAATAGGCTCAAACCTCGCTAACCCATGCTGGCGGTGTTTACACTTTCTACTCAATCTCGGTGTGCGGGGACTTGAGCACCGTCGCGGTAGTTCATGCTTGCCGATATGGCGCTGGGTAGAAAGGATTTGTTCGCACCATCCCTGAGTTTTTCTAAAATGTGTTCTTCTGAGGGGCCGTTGGCGCCCGATCATTATGAGGGTTGATTGGTTCATGGCGATGCCAGGGATGTCCGTCCAGGGGAAAGAACTGGAGAGCCGATATGATCCGCTGCAACAGGCGTGTGTTTCCATAGAAATCATCTTCTGGGAGTTACCGGTACGAGTAATGGAGGCTACGGCGGGGCTGGTTTTTGTTGGAAGAAATTGTTTCCCGATTGTTACGGACACAACCGTGCAGAATACCCTACTCGGGTGGACTTTGTCCCTAGTGGGTTAGGATCAAATACTACCATTTACAAGTGCCAGGGATAATGTTTTCGCACAGTTAATTTAGGTTAACTGGCAGAATAATCCCTGTCTAGTACGAAAACATCTCCCCTGGCGCTTGTACTTGGGTACGGCTCTGGGGGGTTCACGCTCTCCTACTTGTGCGGGTAGGTGATCGAGTATTACGAATACTACTAGCATAAGCAGTAGCACCTTTGAAGCTTCTCACCAAACACCGAATACTTTAGTCGATAACATCTCCAGGAAGAGTTCCCCATGTTCCCACAAGCGCCCGCCTGGCACCCAACGCTATAGCTTATGATCTGTGATATATGTAGAATTACACTACTCTGATTAGCGGACTGGGGACACCAAGTGATTGGCCCGGCTCCGAGTAGCTTCGTGGGCGTCCAACTTCCACTCAGGCACTAGAGTACCGGTACGGTAATTTACGGCAGCATTGCTTTCCTCTTGGGTGCGAGATGAAAAATGGTCTGTAGCGCTTACCCTGACCAAGTGGGAGCTGCAGTGGGCACAATACCCGATTACGTGTAAAGTGCTTACACCAAAACCCAGGCAGGGAAAGAAATTCGATCATTGCTGAAAATGTGAGCATGGGAGTTGGCCTACCGGTACTGTACTCGAATACCGTAATGGTTGCCTTGCAGTTGTGCAGATAGATAGTAGGCATGCAGTTGCCTTTCTTGTGTGTAAGCGTCGGCAGGTGACAGCCCCGCTCTTGGTGGACAAAAGCAAAATTCAGCTGAATACCGCCCATACCCTCCAGTTGCTGTATTCCACCACATATTTGAATCCCCGGTGAGAAGGAATAACTCTAAAGCGAGAGAAGCATCAGCAACCGCCTACCTTAGGGTCAAACGCCGGCTTGTATTTATCCATCGTTTCTAAAGAATAGCGAGCCATAATAGCTTCATCTTTGCACCTCCGCTCTCAGATAGGCAACGACAGGGACCACGAAAATGGCAGAACCGATCTCCTTGACCGCGAGTGTCCTGGCCCTCATTCACCTTGGCGCGAAGGTTTACCAGCTTTGCGATGACTACTGCAATGTGGTCAAGGAGAGCGAGAAAGATTTCAAGAAACTGGGGGATGAGATTAAGGCTTTCGACCAACAGTTGAAGGAAATTCAAAGCCTTGCGGAACAAGGCGATGAGAACAATCCGCAATACCCTGAGCTACTTGAATGGGCGAGAGGCAAAAGTTTGAAAGATTTTACGGCAGCCCTCGAAGAGCTTGAGGCCAAATTAAACGTTCCGGGATGGAGGAAATCGTCGCGGAAGCTGCTTTGGCCTTTTCGCAAGCCGAAAATGGAGCGTTACCTGGGCTTGGTGGAAGAGCAGAGATCGAAACTGCATCTTTTGCTAACCACAGCGACAACGTAGGTTATCTATTCTGCAAGAATCTTACTTCTCCGCTTCCTTTTCGTTTTGGTAGCAAGACTAACCAGTGCTTTAGGAAAACGGTAACTAAGGTGTTGCGAAAACTAGACGGTACTTGGTCGCCTTATCCCTAACCCTGACAATTTTCTCTTGACTAATACCAGATATTCCTAACCCCTAGAGAAGGAACTCCGAGAAGTACAGAAGTGGCTCAACGTCGTCGATCCGGCTTCTAATTATTCATCCGCTCTGGCTGTTCGTGAACCGGGTACTGGAGGTTGGCTGATTGGGGGACCGGAGTACGTGGATTGGAAGGAAGGCAGAGGGGGGGTTCTCTGGCTCCATGGTATACGTATGTCTAGAGACGAGGGAAACATTATGCTCCGAAGAGTGTCACTAACATTTGTGTCCTCTAGCTGGATGTGGCAAGAGTGTACTGAGGTGCGAACCGGACAGGGTATCCAGAGGTGCAATATAATTTCTGTATTACTAACTTACTCTTTAGCGCTACCGCTATTGAAGATCTCCAACATCTGTGCAACGCACACGATGATTATGCATTAGCTTATTTCTACTTCACCTTCAGCGACTCCGAGAAGCAGGAATTGCACAATATGCTCTTATCCCTTATTGGCCAACTTCCAAAAAAGCCTTCGGATCGGGGTTTGCCGGGTGCAGTTGTAGATCTCTACAATAGCACCAAGGCAATTGGAAAGTCGGCGGATACCACAGCTCTGAAGGGTCTGTTGTCGCATATTATAAAGGATTTCAGGAAGACGTTTATCGTTCTCGATGCCTTGGATGAATTCCCCAAGAACACACGAGAGAGTCTCCTATCTTGGATCGGTGAGCTTACGGCTAATCATATGGTTGGCTCGCTCTCGGTTCTTGTCACGAGCCGTCCCGAGGCCGATATAATGCGAACACTAGGACCACTAGCCGCTTTTCCAATACCGCTACAATCTAAAACTGTCGATCAGGATATTCGGACATATGTCCAGAAATCTCTAGGCGGCAAGGATGGCTTCAAGAAGTTTACCAAAGAAATAAAGAATGAGATAGAGGACACACTAGTTTCTAGTTCGCAGGGAATGTATGTTATGCTCCACTATTCAGATTTTGATTTACGCTGATACAAGTGTGGGGGTGTTCAGGTTCCGATGGGTGGATTGTCTTCTGCGAATTCTATAGGAATGCATAACACCAGGAGATGTGAGAACTGCCTTGGGAGAACTTCCGAAAGACTTAGATTCTGTCTACTTGAGGATCCTGGAAAGCATCCACGAGAAGCAGGGGGAATATATTCGGCGAGCGATGCATTGGCTCGCATTTTCCGAAGTACCCTTGACGTTAGGCCAGCTTGCGGAGGCCGTCGTGATCGAGTACGATGTCGAGAAATATGGCGAGGATCCCGAGACTGGGACTCTTTTCGATGTGAATTGTTTCATGAGCATTTGTCCTAGCCTTATTTCCTTCGAGGATGCCAGGGACGATGAATCCCCCCAGGAAAACAGACGATTACGACTGGCACATTTCTCGGTCAAGGAATATTTGATCTCCGACCGGGCAGCTCAGGGCCCCAGTGCCAGCTATCATATTTCGGAGGATAAAGCCAATTTACTGATGGCTCATTCTTGCCTTAGTCGAATACTGCGACAGAGTGCACAAGGGACTATACACGGGGGCACAGTTGCGAAAACATCATTTCTCTACCATAGTGCTTGCTATTGGTTTGTGTATACCAGATGTATTGAGGATACGGCACCCACACCACTCTCCGAGGCGGTGGTGAAGGTTCTCGAGCTTGGTAGGGGTTGGCTAGATATATATAATCCTGACCGCAACTCCGGTTCCAGGATTTACCCACCAGCAATCTACTATTCCTCCCTGTTAAATTTAGTGGTAGCTTGTAAATCCCTAGTCAACAGAACAACAGATATAGTAAACGTGAATGCGCAGGGTGGCTGGCATGGCAGTGCACTCCAGGCAGCAGCAAACAATGGAAACGAATCGGTTGTGCACCTTCTCCTCGAGCGTGGGGCAGAGGTGAATGCGCAGGGCGGCCCTTATGGCAATGCACTCCAAGCAGCCGTAAAAGGTGGAAACGAATCGGTTGTGCGGCTTCTCCTCGAGCGTGGGGCAGAGGTTAATGCGCAGGGCGGCTATTATGGTAATGCACTCCAAGCAGCTGCGGCAAATGGAAACGAATCAGTTGTGCGGCTTTTCCTCGAGC